TCCCTAGTGGTGGGAAGTGGTGGAATCTGGGAAGATTCCACATGCCACAGAGCAACTAAGCCCGTGCACCACAACTACTGAGCCTGCGCTCTAGAGCCCGCGAGCCACAACCACTGAGCCCACTGCCACAACTACTGAAGCCCGTGAGCCTAGAGCCTGTGCTCTGCAACAAGAGCAGCCACCGCAACGAGAAGCCCACGCACTGCAACGAAGAGTAGCCCATGCTCGCCGCAACTAGAGAAAAGCCCATGCACAGCAACAAAGACCCAATGCAGCCTAAATAATTAATTAATTAATTAATTTAAAAATTACTGAGAATTCCCTGGCGGTCCAGTGGTTATATGACTCGGTGCTTTCACTGCAGTGGCCTGGGTTCAATCCCTGGTCGGGGGACTAAGATCTGGCAAGCTGCGTGGTGCAGACAAAAAAAAGAAAAATAAAAAAGAAATAAAATATTACTGTTTTAGCTGAAGCCCTTTATGTAAATCTCCCCACATTTCTTTATTTTTTCACTACACCCTTGTCCCTAATCAATATAATGATTTTTCTGTGTCCATGAGGATACTAAGTTGTCCCAGGAGGGCCACCTATGTCATGAATCCAAGAGTTCATACATGGATGGGTGTGTTTTGTGGGTTCGTTTCTCCATGTCTGCAGGGATATCACCTATCTTGATGAAAAGAGCTTCACAAGAGGTCAGATACACTTGGTTGGCTAGTCCCCCAGTTTGATCTGCCTCAAAATTGCAGAGGTTCTAACCTCTGCATCTCCTGTTCCTGGCTCATTGTAATGCCTAATGAATATTTGTTGAATAAATGACAAAATTTTTTTTCTTAGTGTGTCATTTTCAGAATCTCTTAGGAGCTTTGCCATTTATTTCTTTTTAGATAATTTGTATTTAAAAATCAAGCTTCAGAATAATAATTTACTGACCAGAACACCACTTACTGTTTTGTAAGGTAGGAGGGAGTAAACCCTCTGGCTAAAATAAAGAATATTTTGTTTTGGTTTTTGCAGTAAATTTTCAACGGGTTGTCAAGGAAGCTTACTGAGGAGAAGAACTATTTGCTGGTAATAGTGTTTGCTTTGAAGTATGACTACAAAGTAATGCAGCTCTCTTCCTCCAGCTGCAGTGTTATATGTAGTCTTACCTCATATAGTCATGCTTTGAATGTACCAAGCAAGAACACTGGCTAGATTTACTCATTAATATTTCACATTCACTGATATTTAGAAATTAAATTATACTCTGTGGTACAAGTTTCCTTTTCTTTGCTTTAGCTTTGAAATGTCCCTTTAAAGGTCTTTCATTTGGACTATAACCTAATTGGATGGCCCTAGTCAGCCTTTGAAACAAATGCTTAGGTTTAGAATGGCTGGTAAACACTTTGCCAAGAAGTGGGAAATCTCTAGGAAGAAAGACTACATGTTGTTATTTATATAACAAATCAGTGAAGGATTAACCCATTTTTCTACTTTTTCTTCTTGAATCTCCCTTACAGATTAGATAGATATGACTTAAATGCCATTGTCTAGAAAGTCTTTGGAGAACTTTTAAAAAACTTTTTGGCTTGAATTAACAAAGATGGTTATATTTGGTTTTATTTTTCTTTTGATAAGGAATTTTTGAAAATGTAAGATTGGCCACAGTTATCGAGGAGAATGGGTATGGCAGTGATCCCCTTTTTCTTTTATGGAAATAATTTAATATAGTAAAACTAAGGGTAACCTGAGAGGCCACTCCTCTGGAGTGTAGACTCTGAAGAAGATAGTGATGACACTGACTACTTTAGCTTTTAAAAAATTACTGTGATCTTAAAACTAGTTTTATTTTATTGAGCTGAAGTTCACATAACATTAACCATTTTAAAGTAAGTCCGTGGCATGTAGCAACCACCACTTATGTCTAGTTTCAAAACACTTTTCATCATTCCAAAATAAAACCTGTATCCATTAAGCAGTTACTCCCTATTCTTCCCTTCCTCCAGTCCCTGGCAACCACCAGTCTCCTTTCTGTCTCTATGGATTTACCTATTCTGCATATTTTATATAAGTGGAATTATACAATATGTGACTTTTTGAGTCTGGCTTTCACTTACCGTAATGTTCTCAAGCGTAACATTTATGTTCCTTTTTATGGCTGAAAACTAATCCTTGTATGTATATGCCATGTTTTGTTTATCCATTCATCCATTGTTGGACATTTGAATTATTTCTGCTTTTTGGTTATTGTGAATAATACTGCTAGGAGCATTTGTGTCCAAGTGTTAGGGTACCCGTTTTCAATTCTTTGGGGTATGGCGTATACCTGGGAGTGGAATTGCTAGATCATATGGTAATTTTATGTTTAACTTTTTGAGGAACAGCCTAACTTCCACAGTGCCTAAACTATTTTACATTCCTACCAGCAGTGTATGAAGGTTCCTGTTTCTCTACATTCTTGTCAGTACTTATTATTTTAAAAATTGTAACCATTCTAGTGGGTGTTAGGTGGTATCTCGTGGTGGTTTTACTTTGTACTTCTCCAGTGACTAATGGTGTTGATCATCTTTTCATGTGCCTGTTGGCTCTTTGTATATCTTCTTTGGAGAAATGCTGTTTGTCATTTTGTCCTTGAGTTGTATGAGTTCTTTATATATTTTGGATACTGGACCCTTATCAGATGATTTGCAAATATTTTCTTCCATTCTGTAGGTTGTCTTTTCACATCCTTGATAATGCCCTTCGATGCACAGAAGATTTTAATTTTGATGAAGTCTAATTTATCAAAAATTTTTTGGTTTTGTTTCTCAGGCTTTTGTTGTCATGTCTAAGAATTTGGCCTATGTTACCAAATCCAGGGTCATTAAGATTTACCCCTGTTTATAGTTTTAGCTCTTAGGTTTAGGTTGTTGGTCCACTCTGAGTTAATTTTTGTATATGGCATGAAGTAGGAGTCCAACAAAGACTCTTATTTAAAAGCATAATTTCATGAAACCTCCACATTGTACTTTTTAAAAATTAATTATTTGGCCGCACCTTGTGGCTTGCGGGCTCTTATTTCCTCAGCCAGGGATTGAACCCAGACCACTGCAGTGAAAGTGCTGAGTCCTGACCACTGGACTGCCAGGGAATTCCCTCACATGGTACTTTTAATATCCCTTGATTAAATATATATACACACCGACCTAAAACTACTGTGGATTTTATATTATTTTAAGCTATTCCATGTTCTATTTATCAAAGCAGAGTTTATATATATTTTTTAAAAGTAGTGCTTGTAAGTTTAAGACATTATTTTCTCAGTCCATGGGCTATATATTGGTGACTGTATATGGATTCATGGATTTCCTTCTTATATCTTTTTTTTTTTTTTTCGGTACGCGGGCCTCTCACTGCTGTGGCCTCTCCTGTTGCGGAGCACAGGCTCCGGACGCGCAGGCTCAGCGGCCATGGCTCACGGGCCCAGCCGCTCCGCGGCATGTGGGAATCCTCCCGGACCGGGGCATGAACCCGTGACCCCTGCATTGGCAGGCAGACTCTCAACCACTGCGCCACCAGGATAGCCCACCTTCTTATATCTTGTGGTCCCCTCTAAGTCTGCAGATCATAGATTTTGTAGAAGAGCATCAGGAGAATCTATCATGGCAAGAAGAAAAGGGATTAAAGATGAAGAAAAAGGTAGAATTTCCAAGGGCTCATAGTTGCAGAGACCTTAAGTGGGAGAGAGAATACTGGAAGGTAGGTAACTGGAAGTTAGTGGTGGGATCTGTGAGTGCCAGAGAGGAAGGAGTGATTTCTTTCAGGCAACAAAGATGACTGCAGAGTAGAAGTTAAGTGCTGGGGAGTGGAGGGGTGGGTGGGGAATATGATTTGGAATAGGGCCTGAAGCCCAAAAGACATCATCAGAAAGTGATTGTTTAGGGCGCAATTGAGGATTCCTTTAGTTTTGGAAATAATGCCAACCCAATGCTACCTCCAAATGAGGAGTAAAGCTAACTTTATTTAACATCTGTCCTAGAGAGGGTTAAGGAAGAGAAACTAAGGAAATTCTAAATTTTATTTCAACCATGATTCCAATACTGGTTAAGTTTGAATTAGTGACCTATATTCTGTATCAATATTTTGTGTTTGTTTGGTTTCTTTTCATTTTTTTTTAAATTAATTTTATTGCAGTATAGTTGCTTTACAATGTTGTGTTAATTTCTGCTGTACAGCAAAGTGACTCAGTTATATATATATTCTTTTTCATTATGGTTTATCACATGATATTGAATGTAGTTCCCTGTGCTATACAGTAGGACCTTGTTGTTTATCCATCCTATATATACTAGTTTTCATCTGCTAGTCCCAAACTCCTAATCCTTCCCTCTGCCACTGCTCCCCCCCACCCCGCCCTTGGCAACCACAAGTCTGTTCTCTATGTGAGTCTGTTTCTGTTTCATAGATATGTTCAGTTGTGTCGTATTTTAGATTCCACATATAGGTGATATCATACGGTATTTGTCTTTCTTTCTGACTTACTTCGCTAAGTATGATAATCTCTAGGTCCATCCATGTTGCTGCAAATAGCATTATTTCATTCTTTTTTATGGCTGAGTAGTATTCCATTGTATATATATGTACCACCTCTTCTTTATCCGTTCATCTGTTGATGGACATTTAGATTGTTTCCTTGTTTTGGCTATTGCAAATAGTGCTGCTGTGAACATAGGGGTGCATGTATCTTTTTAGTTTTGTCTGGGTATATGTCCAGGAGTAGGATTGCTGGATCATATGGCAACACTATTTTTAGCTTTTTGAGGAACCTCCATACTGTTTTCCATAGTGACTGCACCAATTTACATTCCCACCAACAGTTTAAGAGGGTTCCCTTTTCTCCACATCCTCTCCAGCATTTATTATTTGTAGACATTTTAATCATGGCCATTAAATGTCATTTCTTGATAAAGTTTCCTAGTAAAGGAATTCCAGTTTTATCTCAACTGAAAGAATGACGAAAAGAAATCTTTCTAGTCCTCATGTCGGTGAGAGTTAGGTTCTCAGCACATACTGAGAGCTTAGGGTGATGTGTAGTATCGGCCTATGGCCATCTGATGGAGCAGGAACTGGGGCACACAGGAGTGAAAACCTTGGAGGGAAAGTTGGGACTGTGGTGCCAACTAGGGCCAAGGCCAGCTCTTCATAGCACTCACAGGCTCATCAGTGACAATCTTTGTTTTTTGTGTTTTTTTTGAGTGTCTTTGTCAGCTGTGTGTTCAAAGGGCTTTAGAGAAACGAACAAAGGAGAGGATAGATTGGACAACTGAGTGAGAGTCTGAGGGGGGAACACATAATGGCCACTGGTTCAGATGCCCTTCTGCTTTTACTAGGCAGATTGTCTGCTTTTTCATACAGAAATGAAAGCTACTTTTCAAGAAGTGATTTGGAGAGGCATCAACAAAGAATGGATCTTAGGTATTTTTTTGTGGTGTTTAAACTCTGAATTTGTATGAATGTGTCTTTCTGAGTTTTTAACTACCCATGTGACCTCTGTGACTTTCAGGTGCTACTCGTGAGCAGTAGTCGCCATCCAGACCGATGGATTGTCCCTGGAGGAGGCATGGAGCCCGAGGAGGAGCCAAGTGTGGCAGCAGTCCGTGAAGTCTGTGAGGAGGTGTGCACTGTGAACAAAGGGCATGGCTGTACCTTGTCATCATGAACCTGTCATGTCTGTGTAGTTCTTTAATTTATCACCACTCACTGAATGAACAGACTCATGATCACAGAAAGAAAGCACTTAACAGTTACCACATGCCTCCTTGATTAAAGGGGCAGTCAGGTTGTGACATGGTGATGTTTATCAGGCACTCTGTGCAAGGGGAGGGCTCATAGTAGTGACCGTATGTGATTATACCAGACAGTCCTTTGTGATTTCCTATGGATCTCTTCCCACACTGTCTCTGTTACCTGTGGCAGAAGATCAAGAATCAAATAGTTCATCAGCCCATAGAAATAAGAGGAGTAAGCAGTATTGGTATTAATGGCTTATTCTCATTAACCTTTGGGTGAGGAGGAGGCAGCCCTTGTTCTCCTATGCTCCCTGGGTCCTGGCAATAGAGCAGTGGCTAAAGCAATACTTCTGTTAGCCAGAAGTTGTTAATGGTGCACCTTGAGAGACAATAGTGTCTTCTTTTTTATTTGGTCACATGATATTCAACATATATATATTGAGTTCTTGGGCCATGCCCAGTATATCTTACTAGATACTCTAGAATAAACAGTCAGAAGTCAAATCTCTTGGTTCCCTTATTCAAGGGCTTACAATTTTGTTGGGGAAACTGAGAAACAAATTGCAATTCAAAACCAGGAGGAAGGAACTAATGTTTCTCAATAGCCTCTTGTGGCAATACCACGCTCTGCTCTGCTCTGCTTATGCTAATCTCCTTTAGGAGTCCTAACTCAGTGGTGTAAGTTTTACCACCTCCATTTACTTGCCTTGGCTACATAGTGCTTTTTAGATCCATTTCCTTGTTCCAAAAGGGACTTAAGACTGATTCTAAGAACATAAAGTAGAGTTTAGAAAAAGTCTAAATTCTGCATTTCTTTTGGGTCAAGCCCTTGCTGAAGTCTTCTTCGACTAATTTTACTTTGGAATACCCAAGGAATTCTTTCCTTGCTCTGAAGTCCTGCAAACTTGTGTTGACTCGTGCCACTCTCATTTTATCATATATCTGTGTATCTATAACTAGATTGTAACCTCTAAGGACAAAGATTATATTTCCCATCTTAAATCCTCCCTTCTTGTGCCTAGTACACAGCTGGGTGAATAGAAAGTAATTAATGCATGCTTCTATGACAGATGGAGCATAAAAGTCCTGAAGAAATACCCCAATTGGAAATTATCAGAGTTCTTTCTGGAGGATCTCAAAGGTTTGACTATTCAGATAAGTGTGGTAGGGCCAATTGGTGGACCTAAGCTACATAAATTTGATTTCAATCCAGTTGGCTTCTGTGAGTTCTGAGGCACCTAAGGCAAAAGTGATGTTTGACAGAATTATTGCGGCTCTGTGGATTCAGACAGGTTGTTGGAAGACCTGAAATAGACTGATGGTTCTAGAATAGAGAGGAAGGGAAAAATTCAGAGACCTTGGGCAAAACTTGCTGCCTGGTTTAGAAGTTTTGGGTGAAGTGTGACAGCTTTACCGCTGTAGTGCACATTTGGATTTGGCATCTGTCTCAGGAAAACTTATACCCGTTGTTGTTACTGTTGTTTCGTTGAGTGCTACAGTCGAATTGTCCTTGGGTTATATAAGTGCAACTAAGATGTAGAAAACTAGATGATTGCAATAGGAAGTACAGTGAGGGAGTTGAAAAGGATATAGGGTGACCCTTTTGTTTCCTGGAAGTTACATACCATCCTTCAGTAGGTAAAAGGGGGAATAGAGTGGAGAATAAAGTGGAGTTGGGACATGAGAAGGTGAACAATGCAGCACAGATAATTAAAGTATACTTTTCATATGGTCAGTATCTTACCTACCTCCTGTCTTAAAGGGAATCCCAAGCTTGAAATTAAACGCTGCCTGCCATTCTCAGCCCTGAAGAATTCTGCCTGACTTTGAGCAGATTTTTTACTCTCCAGTCAAGAGTCATATCATACCCTGTTCTTTATTCCAGCATTATTGAGAGGATAAAGAATAAGGTACGAAATAAACCAAATATTCGTACAAACAGTATAAATTAGAGAAATGTGTCATTATAAAGACAAACATTTCCATGGCTTACATCAAAATAAAATGGAGGGGGTGGCTTTTCTAATTCCACGTCTATCAACGGAGAATAAGACTTGAATCAGAGAGGATGTAGGTAGATGTTTTTTATTATCCTTGAAGGGTAGCTTTTGTAAGCAGAAACCACTGTTCAGGGGTTTATTTAGTTTTCAAAATGTTATGACTTTTTAAAAGCACACATTCAAAAACTTTGTTCTTTCCTAATGCTTGCAGATCTGATTGCTATATTTATAAGCATAGGAGACTTTTAAGGGGCCTTTGGATAATGTCATGTTTAAGGGGCCTTTGGATAATGCTTAGGCCAGTTCATTGAAGACTTTTAGATGTTTCAAATTACATTTATAAATTTAATTAATTTGATTGCTTTTTAAAGAACGTCAGTTGTCTGACTTTAAAAAAATGAAAATCTTATGAGGCTCTTCAGCAAAAAGTCCTGTGAATGTCATGTATTAAACTTATAAATGAGATGAATCTTAAATATTCCCATAGTGTATATAAACTTACTGAGATTTTCAACTTAAAATCACAAGTCAGAAATAAGTTATTCAGTTATACTTTCAAAGTTGAGGTTACCGTCTAATAGGCCAAATTCTTTTAAACATTACAAAATCATAAAATATGTCTGGTCTCCTTCACCTTTCCTGTTAAATGAGGCCAGGACTCAAGGGTGGCCTGTTAGGAAAGGTCGATCCAGTTCACTGCAGCTCAGTCAATACTATAACTTCACAAGGCTGACTAGCGGTCATGGGATCCACGTGGGTGGTGATGGGTACTGAGTGAGCCATCTGTAATATCTGGCACACTAGGCTAACTTTGTGCTTCACCCTGAAGGTCTCTTCCTCCATGCAGTCTTCATGATTCCTCCCTGTAGTCTTCATGATTCCTCCCTGCAGACTTGTTCTCAGTATGTGCTTCCATTGCAGTCTGTACTGCTAGCATCGTATTTATCATGTTTTATTCATATCGCTTGTCTAGTTGTCTTCTGTGCTAGACTTTACACTCTGTGTAGCCAGGTACCATTCTTTCTTGCTCACTGTTGAATCCCCAAAGCTTAACACATAACAAGTGCTGAACAAAATAAGTGCTGCAGTTTTTGGCGTGACCGCTAGAGCAGCCACGTAAATGCAGTTGAGGTAGGCCCTTTTGGGTTGTCAGGAGTAGACATAACATCTACAGGCCCCTCAGTTAATTGAGGGAGAAGAATATGGCAGTATCACAGCAGCTGTCCAGCCAGGCTGTGCAGAACTGGAAACTTAGGTCACAGAGTACAGGCAGGCCTTGCTTGCAGTGGGTGGATGGATGGTGGGAATGCACTGTAGCTCAAGAGCCTGGTCACCATACCAGAGGCCCAGCGCCTCTCTTCCACTGTGGAGCGCTGCCTTTCTAATGTCTTCTTAGCCTCCCAGCTTCTGCTTACCACTTTTTTTTTTTTAAATTTATATTATTTATTTATTTTTGGCTGCGTTGGGTCTTCATTGCTGCAAGCGGGGTTTCTCTAGTTGCAGCGAGCGGGGGCTACTCTTCGTGGTGGTGCGCGGGCTTCTCATTGCGGTGGCTTCTCGTTGCAGAGCACGGGCTCTAGGTGCGAGGGCTCAGTAGTTGTAGCAAGTGGGCTCAGTAGTTGTGGCTCATGGTCTCTAGAGCACAGGCTCAGTAGTTGTGGCGCACGGACTTAGTTGCTCCGCGGCATGTGGGGTCTTCCCGGACCAGGGCTCAAACCCGTGTACCCTGCATTGGCAGGCAGATTCTCAACCACTGCGCCACCAGGGAATTCCCAGGTTACTACTTTCTGTTTGGTGTTTTCCCTCCCTTGTGCGTCACTAACCTGTCTGTTGACTCACTCTGTCTGTGTATCTCACATTCAGCCTTCCTGAGAGAGGACTTGATCGGTTTTGCCTACTTACAACCTTCAGAGCTGCCAGGTCACATCAGTTTCTAGCCATTTTGAAGATGTCTGCTTTACCTTTGCATCAGTTGCTGATTTCTTATTCCTTTAACTGAGCTCAGAGTGGCAAGGTCATGTGCTATAAAACATGACAGCCTGAGAGAGGACTTGATCGGTTTTGCCTACTTACAACCTTCAGAGCTGCCAGGTCACATCAGTTTCTAGCCATTTTGAAGATGTCTGCTTTACCTTTGCATCAGTTGCTGATTTCTTATTCCTTTAACTGAGCTCAGAGTGGCAAGGTCATGTGCTATAAAACATGACAGCCTGGGGCTTCCCTGGTGGCGCAGTGGTTGAGAGTCCGCCTGCCCATGCAGGGGACACGGGTTCGTGCCCCGGTCCAGGAAGATCCCACATGCCGCGGAGCAGCTGGGCCCGTGAGCCATGGCCGCTGAGCCTGCGCCACCGGAGCCTGTGCTCCGCAACGGGAGAGGCCACAACAGTGAGAGGCCCACGTACCACAAAAAACCCACAAAAATACCACGACAGCCTGTGCTTAAGTACTGCCTGCAGCAGCTGTACCAATGGTATGTAGTAAAAAGATGTGTAATAACACAGGGAAATATTTGCAGTACATTCCTAAGTGATCAAAGCAGGTTATGAAACAATATTTATGATAGAAAACCATTTAGTGGGGAAGAAATATGTGTGTCTATTTGTATAGAAAGAACAGATAACACTACTTGTACACTTATTATGTGCCAAGCTGTGTTTAAGGGTTTTGCATATGTCGCCTCATTTCCTCACCAGATCCAATAAGGTAGGAACTGTTATTATCTGCATTTTACAGGTTGAGAGTCAGTGAGATCAAGTAATTTGTCCTGGCACACCAGGACAAATTGTGCCCAGCTAAATGTGCTCTAGTGCTCAAGGTAAGATTTGAATCCAGAACATCTAGTCTTAGCTCCCACACTCCTAATGCCTTGAAAGAATGCCCATCAG